CCAGTAAATCCTATACCTGCAGCGGACGTCTCGACTGACAGTCGATATAGGATTTACTGGCAGAAGGTAAAAGTGCCTCAAGCAAAACAAAGCAGGAACAAGCTAATCCTCCTGGCACACAGTCCACAGCGAGAAGCTGCACAAACACACACAAAACACAAGCCCGAAAAGAACCAGCACTGCTGGCACCCAGACTCTCGCTGTGCGCTGTGTGCCAGGAGGTTTAGCTTGTTCCTGCTTTGTTTTGCTTGAGGCACTTTTTACCTTCTGCCAGTAAATCCATCTCCGTTTTCTTTGAGGCACTTTTTACCTTATGCGAGTGAAATTCTGCACTGCCGCCAGCCCACGCGCGAAGCCGCGCTCGCAGAAGGGCCGTAACTGAAAGTAGGCATGGTGCGACTCAACTCGGCGAGGCGGATGATTCCCTAAGATCGCCAGACTCAGGATGCTTCTGGGCACGGAGATTACGGAGAGACCTCGAGCACAACGTCCAGGCCGCCCGGCTATGAGGAGACAAGATCAAGATCAAGATCAAGATCAAGATCAAGATCAAGATCAAGATCAAGATCAAGACTTACCGATGAGTGATATGAAGAGCCTGCCTCGCTATTTTATTGTATTGACTGTCAATAAACGTACAAATTGAAACAAGAGTTTTAAAATCTAGAATACTCAGCTTTACAACACAATTCTGACTGTCAGCAACAAAGTTATAAATACTTTTTATCTATATTGCTTATAAATATAATAAATGTTTTATTCGTGCAATGTTTCGGTACTTACCGATTAATGCTGACGGTACTTTATTAGATCAACGGCTACGAGATCACGGTGCCGTAAAGCGATAGATAGAGTAGAGACGAGGAGGCGAAGGGTGTGGAGGCAGGGGCAGTCGAAGACGAGGACATGGAAAGAAGAGAAGAGCGAGAAAGCTTTCGATGATCATGATGAGCGCTGAGGGATTTACTTTGCAAAGCTGAAGAGCATGGTTGAGATGGAATTTCAAAGTATATGGGGAGTCGCAGGATATCTTATGATCACCATGAAGACACCTTGATTGCTTTTCTACAGGAGGGTAGAGAGAAGACTGGAGATGGACAAGTCGATCCAAGCCCTTTCATACGATCACTGCTCCCTCATCCATGGTGATGGATCTTTTCGATAAAACTGCCTGATTGTTGCTGGTGATCTTCAGGTGCAGACATTCCCTGCTTTAAGTTGATTGGAAAAATCTCGTGAGCTCTATCTTCGCATTTCCTTGCATCTGAAATCCTCGCAGTGAATGCCAATCTTTATTTTTCAAGTCCGATGAGGTTTGTGTTCGGGCTGCTTGAGGTTGCTTGTTCGTTTGTTTTAAGCGGGTTGACAGGTCGAGGTCGCTGCCTCTCCTCACGAAGCTGCTCTGGTCTACGTGTCTACTCCGAGCCTTCAACTTCACAATCCTCACTCAGAGATGGGTGAGCCACCTGCTTCGAAATTCATTCATGCGGTTAACTTCCCTCACAGACCGCAAGGTCGTATCTCTTTCCCGACTCAACAAGGCCTGTGATCGTTGCAGAAAGTCCAAACTCAAGTGTGACTGGAACAAACCTTGCTCGCGTTGCGTGCAAGATCGAGTTCCCAACTCTTGCAAGTCTTCCGCGCGCAAGAGCAGAAGCTTGTCCGACGGAGTCTGTGCCAGCATCGCGTGTGAGCCCTGTAGATCTGCAAAAGTTCGATGCGATGCCACTCGACCCTGCATGCGATGCTGCAGGCTGGGGAGACAAGCAGAGTGTGTGGATCATCTCAAGGCAGTGACTGAGAGACCGCTCCCCTTCCTGCATGGCAAACTGATCTTCCAGGATGAGATGGAGGAATTGTTTCAGGTTGACTTCGGGCGGTTGGGTTGGGCATATGGTCCCATCAGACGCTGCTGGGAGTGGGGGCACGACCCTGTTGCGATGTTGAAGATTTTCCAAGATCTTCCCCCCTACTTCCAGAACATCCTTAGGGTAGGCATGACTGCGATAGGGATCCTTGACAGCCACAAGCGAAGCAAGTCGAACAGTCAAGCTGACGGTCTGCTCCTTGGCAAGCACAACATACAAGACGATGTTGCCGACTCCATCCCAGATTGCCAAGATCAACTTTGGGAGCTCAATCATGAGGTGTCCTTCATGAAGCTCAGATGGCGCAACAAGCAGAAGGAGAGGGCGAGCGTTCAGATCAACAACTCCGTTTGCCGTGTGTTCGGCATCCATAAGGAAGAACTGATTGCTCGTCTCGCTCGACATGAAGTTCCGCTCTTGACCAGCGAGTTTGAGTGGCTGTGTCGAATCCTGGACCTCATGTTCTTTTCCAACTCCTCGCACGCCGGAAAGCCCATGATCCGATACGAACGCTTCCTCTTGAAGTTTGGCAAGGAAGTCAAGGGAGCCCTTGGCTGTATCACCAATACTTGGGAACACGACTGGACGGGAGCGGTGGAGGCAGCGTGCTTCTATGTGCGACCGGTGAGTCTTGTTGCTCTTGACCGGAGGCTGTTGCTCATGCTCGCACAGATTTCTGTCGAGGAGTTCGACTCTCATCGATGCAATAGTTCACTCTCGCGGCCAGTGACAGGCTTCTGTCGAGGAGACCTCTCGGGGCGAGAGCTGCTTGAAACTGCTTGCGATGATGTGGAGGTGAGGATTAGGGGGGAGGAGGCAGAGACTAACGCGGCTCAGAGGTACAAGATCTCCGCTATGAAACTCACGCTCGAGGGAAGGGAGGCTCTGTGGCGCCTCGCAGACCTGACGCAGAAGAAGCTAGCTCCCATTGTAAGTCAGGCTGAGCAACTCAAGCGATTGTCCGGCTCGCATGACCTCCTGTAAGCTCACCGATTTGCTCTACTTGTGCTCTTGATTGTATTCTATTCAAACATCTTGACCTCTATGAACATCTTTGGCTTCATTTCAACCCATACAACCAGCTCAGTGTTATCTCCTGCACTTTCCCTAACATCACCATTATTCGAGTTAAGAGGAGCATAGCAGCACCCTCTGCCATCAACGAAAGAATTCGACCCGAGCATCAAGTTTAGAGTTGAACAGCTCAGCTTACAAGAAGCCACATGGCGGATATTGCACTGCTGATATAGAGAAGGAGGCATGGAGAACGGAGGGGAGGGGTGATAGTGTGCGCTATCGTTGCGGCATGAAGGAGGGAGGGGAGGGGTGATAGTGTGCGCTATCGTTGCGGCATGAAGGAGGAAGGGGAGGGGTGATAGTGTGCGCTATCGTTGCGGCATGAAGGAGGAAGGGGAGGGGTGATAGTGTGCGCTATCGTTGCGGCATGAAGGAGGGAGGGAGGGGTGATAGTGTGCGCTATCGTTGCGGCATGAAGGAGGAAGGGGAGGGGTGATAGTGTGCGCTATCGTTGCGGCATGAAGGAGGAAGGGGAGAGGTGATAGTGTGCGCTATCGTTTTGCGGCCATGAAGGAGGGAAGGGGAGGGGTGATAGTGTGCGCTATCGTTGCGGCATGAAGGAGGGAGGGAGGGGTGATAGTGTGCGCTATCGTTGCGGCATTGAAGGAGGGAGGGGAGGGGTGATAGTGTTGCGCTATCGTAGCGGCATTGAAGGAGGAAGGGGAGGGGTGATAGTGTGCGATATCGTTGCGGCATGAAGGAGGGAGGGGAGGGGTGATAGTGTGCGCTATCGTTGCGGCATGAAGGAGGGAGGGGGGAGGGAGGGGTGATAGTGTGCGCTATCGTTGCGGCATTGAAGGAGGAAGGGGAGGGGTGATAGTGTTGCGCTATCGTTGCGGCATTGAAGGAGGGAAGGGGAGTGGTGATAGTGTGCGCTATCGTTGCGGCATGAAGGAGGGAGGGGAGTGGTGATAGTGTGCGCTATCGTTGCGGCATGAAGGAGGAAGGGGAGGGGTGATAGTGTGCGCTATCGTTGCGGCATGAAGGAGGAAGGGGAGGGGTGATAGTGTGCGCTATCGTTGCGGCATGAAGGAGGAAGGGGAGGGGTGATAGTGTGCGCTATCGTTGCGGCATGAAGGAAGAAGGGGAGGGGTGATAGTTTGCGCTATCGTTGCGGCATGAACGAGGAAGGGGAGGGGTGATAGTGTGCGCTATCGTTTCGGCATGAAGGAGGAAGGGGAGGGGTGATAGTGTGCGCTATCGTAGCGGCATGAAGGAGGAAGGGGAGGGGTGATAGTGTGCGCTATCGTAGCGGCATGAAGGAGGAAGGGAGGGTTGAGGTGCTTTGACCATGTATTTGGCGGAACTGTTTCAGTGAGTTCTCAATCATTGCTTTGAAATTAGATCAGACCTTTTTATCTCTGTGGTGGCAAATTTCTCACTAAGATTTCGAATTACAAGACAATTGCTTGCTTCGATTCCAGAACGTTGTGGATATAAAAGATATGCCGTGACTACCCCTGCCTTGTACTCTTTTTTACTACTATTCTACCACACCCCTACATGGGGTAGGTACCCTACCGTCCCGGTCACATATCAATGACTATCTGTGGCAGCGGCGAATGCATGCAACTAGTGCTGCTGCGATAGAACAGATATACTTGCTTCACTCCCATACTGATTGATATACTTGCTTCACTCTCATACTGATTGATATACTTGCTTCACTCTCATACTGATTGACATACTTGCTTCACTCTCATACTCCTTCTCCTCCACTGGCACCATCCCCAGAAATCGTTTTCATCATCTCTCCTCCCCTTCCCCTGTTCCACAAGATCGCTAGTACCTCAACGCCTTGATCTCCATACCCTCCGGCGCTCCTCCATCAATCTGATTGCCAAGTTGACCTCCTTCTTTTCTACCTCGCTGTCACAACACCTTCTTCTAATGTTGTTCATGTTTGCTCTATCCTTAACTCTCATCTTATCCCTGTCATCCACCTCCCTCTTGACCTTTTCAATATTCTTACACTGATCTTAGCACCCAAGCTCCATCATTCGCTCCCACATGTCTATCATCCCATGGTTCACATAATTGATACCATACGTATGTGTGCCAATCATCTCCTCTTTCAATTATTACTGTTTCTCCTTCTTGTGTTGGCTCTCTAACTCTCTTCATTGCTTGCACTCTCGTTAGACACGAGAAGGATCTTGTTGTCACGCATGCATCACGTTTGAGGGTCGACAGTGAGATAGCTTTGTCCGTGAACCATCATCTACCGCTATCCTTGACTTGTCATAGCAGAAACAAGCCGAGGGTTCTCTAAGGCTCCTACATACCAGTCCTTGTTGCTCGTGCTGCGCTCGCTCGCGCGTCTGACGGGACAAGCGAACGCATCGTGATGAAGAGTCTTTCATCATTGTTTCAATCCAAGAAGGACAAGAATGACTCGTCTAATCCTCAGGTACCATAAGGTAGACCCTCCCTCAGCTCTCTCTCACAACCTATTTTTTCAGATCTCAGTGAAAGAGTCAAACGCCAGCACCAGCTCCTCCGATCCCTCCTTGTCCTCCCTCCATCCCTCCCTCCCTCCCTCCCTTTCTTCGCCGATCCCATCCGTCAAGCAAGAGCCTCAGGTCTGAAGTAGGTTTGAGCGCTTTAGGCTAACAGCAAGTAGAAATGGATCGTGGGAAAGCAGTATCCTGTGATCCCAGGAGAGCTCTTCTTCATGTCAATTCGCGATCAAGAAAAACTCTTGGAATTGCAGGAATGGCAGGTGGGGCTTTGAAATCTCCTCCCCTCCACTTCCTCGCTCCCCTCGCTATCCTCTCCTCTCCTCGCCTCGCCTCGCCTCGCCTCGCCTCGTCTCTCCACTCCTCTCCTTCCCCTACCTACCTACCTGCCTTCTTCGTTCCTTACGTTTGATCTGCAGAGAGCCAATGGGGTGAATGTGGATAGAGTCTTCTTCTCCACGGAGGGAGAGCTTCAGTACGTTGATACTCAACTCTTTCCCGCTCATCTCTTCCCTCCTCTCAATGAAGCCCCTCCTGCTCATGCATCTGCGCGTTCTTTTCTTGTGCTCTTAGCGGTGAGAGGAGGGTGACGGACGTTTAGATACTTCCCCTTCTGTGCTGACTTTGGGCCGATGAATCTGGGTATGACGTACAGGTCAGTGGGGTATGAGGGGGACAAGGGGCTGATGCAGCTCAGGTTCATCCTCTTGTTGGAGCAGAAGCTGCAGCAGTGCAAGAAGATGGTGAGAAGGGGGGACGGGGATGAGGGGGCATAGTGACCCTGCTGGTAGCGAGAGAGGAGGATGAAACTGATGCCTGACATGGCAGGGCAAGAAAGTGGTTTATTACACCTCAGCAGACCCCGCCGAGAGGACAAACGCGGTATGAGGAGGGAGGAGGCAGTGGCGATGGAGCCTGTTGATCCTCGGACAGGCCACTCTGATCCTCGCCTACCTGGTCATGAAGAGGTTTTGCCTTCCTGCTCTCCCTCTCACCTCACCGTTGCCTCCACCAGAGACTGGTCGCCGGAAGACGCCATGGCATCCCTTACCTTCACTGGCCGGCAGCCGTTTCTGGTGAGCTTGGAAGAGAAAGAGAGGAGGAAGGAGGTGTGAGAGGGAGAGCAGGGTTTCAGAGACGCTTCTTTCCAACAGCCTACATTTGAACTTTCAATCCTACACGTACTCAAGGGCCTGAGAAAAGCCAAGCTGTGCGGGCTCATCAACTTTGACACCTTTGATCTTGACTTCTACGAATACTGCGATCATCCTTCAATGGTCTCACCCTCTCTTGTTGCGCTCCTCAAGCTTGTCTCAGCTGAATCATGGCAGGCGGACCTGCATTCCATTGTTCCCAACAAGTTTGTTGCGATGAAAGGGCCGCACGAGAGAAGTTACATGAAGGACGGAGTTCAATTCCTCGCTCCCAGGTTCTTGACAAGCTCTCACACCACTCTTTCTCCTTGATCTTACCAAATCATCTTCATCGGCATCCTCAAAAACTATATATCCTCTTCCTCCTCCTCCTCATCATCATCGTCCTCGTCCTCGTCCTCGTCATCGTCCTCGTCATCGTCATCGTCGTTCTCACACAGTGCTCAGTCACTACTTTGACATCTTCAAACGACTTGGAGTCTCGGCGGTTATTCGACTCAACGACGAACAGTAATTCATCAATACCTCCCCTCCTCTCCCTCTTCTTCTCTTCTGATCCCTTCAAAGGTATCCGGCAAGCGCTTTCACCGACATGGGCATCAACCACTACGACCTCTACTTCGACGACTGCACTGTCCCGCCTCGAGAGGTTCTTGCATGCCTCATCTCCCCCTCCCTTCCTTCCCGCATCGCTCTCAAGCTCGTCCGCTCGTGACCACCCGCAGATCGTCGATCGTTTCTTCGAGGTCTGTCGCAAGGAGAAAGGAGCCATCGCCATCCACTGCAAGGCTGGCCTCGGAAGAACGGGGACGGTGAGGGAGACGAGGGAGGAGGAAGAGCGTCTGAGACAAGCAGCAGCTAATTTGTCTGTGGATCATGAGGAAGTGGAAATTTACTGGAAGAGAAGCCATTGGTTTCTTTCCTTCCCCTCCTCCTCTAGCTCTGATCCTTGCCTCACTTGCTTTTCCTGCCTCCCGCTCTCACTCCTCCACCCCGCTCTCGTCCCTCCCTTCCCATCCTCACATCATCCCTCCCCTCCACTTTCTCTCCTCTCCTCTTCTCACTCTCAGCAGGCTATATTCGTGTTGTTCGTCCTGGTTCCATCCTCGGGCCCCAGCAGGAGTTCCTCGTGGTCGCTTTGCTTGTGTTGCTCCTCCCCACCTGAACCCCAGCAGGAGATGGAGAACGAGATGTGGCAGCTTGGGGACCCGGACGTCGCTACTCTTCCAGCAAGACCCCAGCAGAGACAAAAACCCACGGCAAGCACAGCAGAGGTGAGAAGAAGAAACAAAGAGCGAGGCAGGCAGGCAGGCAGGCAGGCAGGCAGGCAGGCAGGCAGAGGAGGGAGGGAGAGAGGGAGGGAGAGAGGAGCTGACGGGGAGAGCAGGAGGAGAAGGAGCGAGAGGCAGCAAGAGCACGGGCCAAGGAGAACACTGAAGCCATGAACCGAAGAGCCGCTCAGATGGCTGCTCGCCTGAGATGAAGGAAACATGACCCTTTCTTACGCTCCGTCTTCTCCTGTCCTCCTTCTCCTGTCCTCTTTCTCCTGTCTTCCTCCTCCTCTCCTCCTCCTCCTCTCCTTCACTTTATCGTCTCCGTCTCTCCCTCTTTATAAGGCTTGCCTATTCTTTTTGTCTTTTATGACCAAGCGAACCTTACGCACCTCTCGCATCATGTCTTTTGTTAGTCCTCCTCCTCCTCCTCCTCCT